TAACATCTGGATCTTTGGCTGTAAATTAATCCCTTAACATCTGGATCTTTGGCTGTAAATTAATCCGTTAACATCTGGATGTTTCACTCTGAATTCATCCGTTAACGTCTGGATGTTTGGCTCTAAATTAATCCGTTGACATCTGGATGTTTGGCTCTGAATTCATACATTAACACCTGATGTTTGGCTCGGAATCGTCCGTTAACATCTGGATGTTTGGCTCTGAATTCATCCGTTAACGTCTGGATGTTTGGCTCTAAATTAATTCGTTAACATCTGGATGTTTCACTCTGAATTCATACATTAACACCTAATGTTTGGCTCGGAATCGTCCGTTAACGTCTGGATCTTTGGCTGTAAATAAATCCGTTAACATCTGGATGTTTGGCTCTGAATTCATCCGTTAACATCTGGATGTTTGGCTCTGAATTCATCCGTTAACATCTGGATGTTTGGCTCTGAATTCATCCGTTAACATCTGTGAGAGATGGAGAGCAGATGATATTGTTTTAATTTTTTTATTTTACAGTGCAACCACAGCATTTACTGCTCTCCCAATCTATTCCCCGCTGCTCGACCTTTCACTGCTCTTTTGATTATGCTGCACAGCAGCCATTCAGCACGACCTTTATCTGTGAAGCTTTAAAGTTTTTCTCCCTCATGGTAAATGGCCCTTTACTATGGGGTGTAAATCACACCCATCATGGCGATTCGATTCAGTATCCATTTCCTAACCCAACGATTCGAGTATTTTCGATACTCAAGAATACACCACGATACGATACGATTCGATTAATTGGTTCATTTTTTTTTTTTTACCTTACAGGCTAGATAGTGTTTCAAATTTGAAATAAATCAATTAAAGCTGTAATATCGTTACACATTTTATTTGAGAAACAACAGCAAATAACAGAAGTAGAAAAGTTGTTCTCCACCTAGGCCTATTAAAACCTCATTCACTAAAATAATAATGCCCCTGAGTTATAGATTCGGAAAGGCCTTGCATCAAACAATACTGCACAAAATCAGTTGGATCAGTTGGACACTTGGATCCCCGCTATTTTTCGCCATCATGTCCCTCCGTCCTCGGACTAAACTCGCTCCCACTTCCTCACCGCCTCGGCCGTAACTAGACCCACAGTGTATAGCGCAGACCACACTTCAATATTTGGCATAATCAAAAATGTCTGTGTCAAGCTCACTGCGACACACTACTGTGGCGAGTATAACCAGGAAGCGAGGAAGGAGGGCAAAATAGGTTTAGCGCCACCGCAGCACGGGAGGGAGAATTACGTCCAGGAGCAAATAAATGAAAATAGACCGGAGGAAAAAAAACAAAAAAAAACATGAGTCGCTACTCTTGCAGACTCGTCGATGCATCGGATCGGTTTATCGATGGATCAATACAAAATGATTATTATTTACACCCCTACCCTGTACTTATAAAGCCCTTTTTAAGCCAGAGGACTTGCTTTACACTACGTTCAGAAATTCACCCACACACTGATGGTGGTGAGTTACATACTAGCCACAGCTGCCCTGGAGCTAACTGACAGAAGCAAAGTTCAATGTCATTCCCACCTGAGTGAACACCTGTGTGTTCATTAAGATGGGAGTTCAAAGCCTTATATGGAATTATCAGGGTGGTAATTATGCAGATTTACATTTATCCTGAACCCACCTTACATACACTCTGGTGGACTGCATCGGATTTAAAAGGATATTTTATGATAATTTGTTGAAGTTAGGAGCATTTGTTGAATCTGAGGTTTCACATTTTCAAAAGCCCCCAATAGGAGAAAAATTAAGAGAAATATACGCCAAGAATATGAAAATGTTCCATGAGGGCCATTGTTCCACATAACAGGGATAGAAAACAAAGTCAGAACGATTATTCGTCAAGTTCCGTTTAAGTCACAAACTGCTTGGAACTGAAAACATTTACCCATAATACCTGGATCATCTTAAAACAAACATTAAAAATGCTGTATTTATTTCTAACCCCGTTCATTTATTTTTTCTTCATTCCGACAGTCACACCGGCTACATCACAGAGGCTACTGTGGCCCTGGTGCTGGGTCTCTTATTTTTCATCGTTCCCACCCATGGACCCGACAAGAAATATGGTAACAGCATTTAATGTTGACATAAACTTGATTTGTTTTTATATTTAATGATCTTCTTTAAATATTATAAAAAGAAAAAGATTTACTTTTGCACTCTGCAGCACTGCTCAGCGACACAGAAGAGAGAAAGTGAAGCAGATTCTTTAAAATTTATAACTGCACTATCTGACAATGATCTACTAAAATTGAACCTTCTTATGGGGGAGGAGAACTCTGTTAAAGTAATCAGATTAGATTAGATTAGATTAGGTGAGCTTTATTGATCTCACAGCGCAGAAATTCACTGGTCACATATTGACATAGTAATTAAAGAAGGTTCAAACAAGGAGGAAAACGGTGCATTAAGATAAACAATATATATACAGTATATCAAGATAAATAAGGATTAAGGTGCAAGTGTACATGTATCACACACATTAAAAAACAAAATGACAATAAGAAATAAAAAAATAAAAATACAAGGGAGTAGCACAGAGATTTGAGGTGTCATATGTACAATCAGGATGGCTTATATACTGGTGGATTTACTTTATTTTACGTTATGGTGTAGTAGGTAAGGAGCAACGGTGAGGTAGTGGTATGACTATTCTATTCACATATATTGCACAGTCAGCATATAGCACAGAATGTTGCACAGTCAATAGATAAAAAACTATATTACAGCTGCACAGTGGTTTTTACAGGAGTTATTGTGGTTATAGTGCATTATTATAGAGTCTGGTGTCAGCAGGAAGGAGCGCTACCATAGGTAGCGCTCCTTCTTACAGACAGGGTGTCTAAGTCTTTCATTAAAGGAGCTGCTCAGCTCCTCTACCGTCTGGTGCAGGGGGTGAGAGGTGTTGTCCATGATGGATGTGAGTTTGGACAGCATCCTCCTCTCAGCCACTTACTCCACTGAGGGCTGCCCAGGACAGAAGTGGCCTTCCTCACAAGCTTATTCAGCCTCTTTCTGTCCCGCTCTGAGCTGCCAGGGGCCCAGCAGACGACAGCGTAGATGAGGGCTGAGGCCACCACAGAGTCAGAGAAGGTTTTAAGGATGGATGTTCATGGGGGGTGGGGTGGTGGTCTTCTCCTGAAGTCGATCACCATCTCCTTTGTCTTACTGGTGTTCAGAGACAGATGGTTTCTCTCACACCAGTCCACAAAGTCCATGATGACCGACCGGTATTCCAGCTCGTCGACCTCAGACACACAGCCCACAATGGCCGAGTCATCGGAGAACTTCTGGTGGTGGCAGCTGTCCGTGTTGTAGGTGAAGTCCGAGGTGTAGAGAGTGAAAAGAAATGGAGACAGGATGGTGCCCTGCCGCACGTACTGAGGACAGTCAGTGAGGTAGTTGGTGGTCCAGTCAGCTAGATGCTTGTCCACCCCAGCGTCCTCCAGCTTCCCCCTCAGCAGCACCGGACTGATGGTGTTGAAAGCGCCGGAGAAGTCAAAGAATATGACTCTCACAGCGCTCCCAGTGGTCTCCAGATGGGTGAGCGCCCGCTGCAGCAGGTAGATGATGGCGTCGTCTACTCCGCTGTTGGGCCGGTAGGCGAACTGCAGTGGGTCCAGGGTGGGGCTCACCACGGAGCAAAGGTGGGCAAGGACGAGGCACTCCATGGTCTTCATCAGGTGAGAGGTCAGGGTGACTGGTCTGAAGTGGGCCGGGTCCCTGCCGTGTGGCGTTTTGGTAACCAGAACCACACAGGAGGTCTTCCACAGAGTGGGGACCACCCCCAGGCTGAGGCTCAGGTTGTACATGTAGCTGAGGACCTGACAGAGCTCATCTGCACAGGTCCTGAAGGTTATTAGAAAGCGGTCAGAGAGGACAGGGTTGTGAGGAAATAATGTTATTTCTTCCCATTCTATGCCGTATGACAGCACAAGATCCAAAGTATGAAGATGAGAATGTGGGACTATTCACATTTTGAAGAAAGCCAATAGTGTCTAAGATAGCATTAAAGGCTGCTCTTAAGCTATCGCCTTCAATGTCAGCATGGATGTTAAAATCTCACTATGATGACCCTGTCAGTTTTTAATACCAAATCAGCAAGGAACTCTGAAAACTCATCTAAAAATTCAGAGTAAGGACCTGGTGGACGATACAAAGTTACAAAAAG